GCAGCAGCACAACAATGTGAGAACCATAAAATTACAGCCTTCATTGGTCAGGCACTGACTGTGGCAAGCCTACGCTCAACATAGTTTTAGTTCAATCTGTTAAAGGGAAAGTTTATTCAAAGTGGAACAGAGCAGAAAAATACAGATCTTTAACGCTTGTGATTGCAGGCCCATCCATATAAAACGAAAACTAAACATGCAGTTTGCTATCATCTTTTAATTAGCCGGTATTATTAACTGACTGACTGACTTTTGCCTCTCTAATGTTAGTCTGATATAAATTAGCGCTATTTTTAAGCATTACTGTGTGTATGTGTGTGTGTGTTGTCAGCCAACATCAGCTGAGTCATCACTTCTATACTTCTATACAAGTGACGAATCTCATATAGGCTACGATATTAAGCTGCTTAGCCCTGCCTGGAGACACTGTGCATCTGCAAGTATCTTTGCAACCCACCCCCAGCTCAGCTCCTTTTACCTTATAACAGTGTTGTATCTGCTGTCATGAATGCCTGCTCTGTACTGCTTGGGTCTTGCTGCAGCATCTCCCTACTCCAGCTTTCTATAGAACCATACTGGCGATATAAATTACTGCTGATACAAATAATCTTTTTAATTAAAGTTGTCCTGACTAAACTACATTAACCATCATGTTAGACCAGATATGTTTCTTAATAGGCAAAATGTACTGAAATAAGGGTCTGCCACTTTTGCAAAAAAAACAACAACAACACCTTCATAACAAAAAAGGCAATTGCCTAACATTGTGTTTCTTTTTATTTTGCCTTTCCACTCATATTCTCATAATTCTTCACTTATATTTTTGTGAAATTGAAGCAAAAGCACTAAGAAGCAATTTGTTGCTTCACAACCCACCCCTTCAGCCTGAGTACCTTTCCAGCTCTCCACTCTCACTGTAGTGAAATGTGATTAGCTCAATTTACACATATAGCCAACTGCTGGATAACTTTACATGGAGAAAAAGTACCAGCATCCGAACTGAGAGAAATGAATTTTTGTATTCTGACAGATGACTTTCCTGGGTGCTATGAGCTCAGTTCCCAAATTTTAGTGTAACACCAGATGCCACCCACCAACTGAGGATACATCCTGCCTTTTTTCTCTGCAGACAACGAGTCTGAGCTTACAGCTAATTAGTGTTTGTGGATGGTATTCCCTGGGAACATGTAATCCTACTCTCACTTGTTCAATGTGCACATTGATAGCAGCAGCATTTTCTTTTCCAGCTGCATCTTCTTTTGGCTTCTGTACATTAAGCTGGAAACATTATCCTCTTACATTAAAAAATGTAGTGGTTTGCCTTCCTAAGAATTGAACTTTTTCATAAAATGCCAAAAAGTACAATTGCAATATAGAGCCAAAAGATGGCACCTACTTCCTTTGTGTTGTCTTGAGCTAAAGTGGAAAGCTGCACACGGACACTTATTGTTTTTAGATTCTTATTAGGGTCTGAGTGTAGACCAATCTCTGAACTAAAAAGCTAACCTAGAGCCCATGCTTGGTAAACCAACCACATGCTGCAAATTTTCTTTACCAACACATTAGAGACTGTGCACACTGATTATCTAAAAGCTAATCCACCACCTATTGGCTGCCAATAATCCTTCATCTGACTATACTCACTGACTTGATGTTTTTTGGCTGTTGTAAAAAAAAAAAAAAACTGTCCTAAATAGTTTTTTTTGCCAGCTGGAAATGAAACATTTATAAAACATGCACTGATACATGGGGAAAAATATATGTAACCACTGAATATTGGTGAAATATTGATAGAAATAATATGAAATAAGATGGCATTTATAAATGTGAATGGTATATTTAAATAGTATAAAAGATGGACGTAGCTTTGGGCTCTGAAAAACCAAGCAAAGAAATGCCTTAAATCTGCACCCATGGGTGATACCCATGACTTGCAGTCTTATATAAGACTGTAAACACCTTACATTTCAGTCTTACATTTCAGGTTATACTCTGTGACATGTTAAAACAACTGGTGTTTCTAATGGTGGACTATGCAAGGTATGCTCATTGGCTGATGACTTGTGACTGATAAATTACTAGGTAAGTTCTTTGTAAGACTTTTTTTTCCACTGTAACAAAATTGCAGATAGGTCAGTGGCAGTCAGTGAGGCAAACATCAGCCAATACTGAAGAATACTGAAGCGACTCTGTTAAATCTTTACATTCATGAATGTGGAACCAGCCCTCACTTTAGATTTGGGAGGCAGACCTTCTAGATTGCTCTACCTTCTAGATTCGGCTTACGACTTACCTTTTTGATAAAGATTACAGAGTAGGGGTGGATCAGGGGACCCTGAATCCTCCCTCAGTTATACTGCAATAGGCCGGGGCTGCTGGGGGCTTCCCATAATGCACTGAACTGAGCATTTTTTATTCACTCACAATTTTTCCCTCTCCATGTATTTATACATCACTTTGCACTTAATCATAAGTAATTATTTATCTCTGGCTTTCTTCCACATTGTGCCCTCCCCTCAACCCCAACCAGTCACCACACAAGACTGCCCCTCAATCAGACTGGTTCTGCCAGAGGTGTCTTCCTGTTAAAAGGGAGTTCTTCCTTCCCACTGTCACTAAGTACTTGCTTATAGTTGGTGGTTTCATTGTTGGGTTTTCTCTGCATTATTGTCTTTATTGGTCTTTACCTTACAATGTAAAACACCTAGAATAATGTGTTGTTGTGATTTAGTGCCATATAAATACAACTGAACTGAATTAAATAGTTTTATGTAAGTGTTTATTCATTGTTGATATTCTTAGGGAAACTATAGCATACAACATTTTTTTTAAAGTATGTGTTGTATATTGTCCACGTGCAAGAACTTGTGCACTGTGTTCACATGGGTCAGGTTGCTTCATTAACATCTTTTCTCTTTGAAAGTCAAAGAGTTCCTTCTTAGACTCACCTATCATGCATCAATTCACAGTCCTGCAGAAATCACCAGAGAGATGGAGAGGACAATTTCAAAAGCGTGACTGTCATTTATTTTCAGCATCTTGTTCACTGTCTCTCTATTCTATTCAGCCACCCTTGCTATAACTCTATCCAACTGTATAAGCCACAGTTGAATCCAACATCTCAAAGCTGAATATAATTATAGGAATATTTGGGGGCTCATTAGTAACCCTTCTACGTCAGCATTATCGTTAGTGAAAAGGTGCTGTCCCAGGCACTTGAAGAAACTCACTTTGGGCAACAACCTTCTGTTTATTCATTAACTTTACTGTAGCAAATCCTTAAAAGCCTCTAATCTTCACTGTGTTTACATCACAAAATAAACCCAGGAGAGTGATCAACAGGATTTTTCCATACAGTTTGTGAACCCCAGAAAGGCTTCTCTGTGAGAGTGCTAACAGTGTATCTTCAGGGATACACATAGTTTGTGACAGAAATTGTTGAAAATGTAAAAGAAAAAAAAATCAATCTGCAACAGGCTAAATTGTCAGACTTGCACTCTGCCAAAAAAGCAGATTCTCCAGTTCAGGCATCTAGAGCTACACTCTGTCACTGACAACTCTGTCAAGTCAAATTGTTTCCTCACTTTGTTTGTTTTCACTGAATTACACAAGATGGGAATGACATGAACCCTGTGCCTCGGGTATTTCAACCATCACCACCACGAGAGAGAGCACTGTGTGTCAGTTATTTACAGACAGTGGGCTTTAACTCTAGTCAGTACACTGTCTAGCTGTCTGCTCCTTTTTGATGTTTTACTGGCTGTAAACCCTGCAGCTCACTCCAACAATCCAGGCAATTGGTGCATGCTGTTCGGCTCCTCTGTGTCAGGCGACAGCACCTTCTTTTAAACTACGACTTAATTTTCTTCCAGAAGGGTACCTTTCTGCCCTCTTGAGCACATACTGCAAGGTAATAAGGCGACATATAAACATCCTATCAACAGGATGCACAACAACACAATATTCCCATGAGAAATGTCCCATATCAGAGCAAAGAGAATATATGTGGGCTTACAGTTCAGGTTACCTTTCTGGTATGTGGAGCAGAGGTTTTCAAACGACAGGCTTTCTGTCACATGTGTGATTTGATCAGACTTGTCCATCTCATGCTATGGAAAAACACTAGGAAAGGATGTAAGTGGGATTTTCTTCTTTTTTTTTTTGAGGGGGGGTAGACCTCCAGAATGTCAAACCCCAGTGGTTGCCACTGCTGCTCCTGTCTGATGTCTGACAGACTACACCAGCACCACTCCTGGTATGGGTCTGACAGCATTTCTCTGACAGAAATACGTGTAAGGATTTGCACATTAACAGCAAACATGTCCCATCAAACTTGCACGTTTGCAAACCCGCATTAGCACACTCTCATCACCCTTCACCAGTCATGAAATCTCTCACCACCACACAGCTTAGTGAAAACCACTGACATACCCTCCGGTCCAGGTTGCAAATCCTTCACATAAAACATAGAAAAGACTGTCCGTGCACTTTCTACGCCACTGCTTAACAGCAAGGCTAAATGAGAGGTGTCCCCCCTCCCCCTCATACAAAGCCGAACAACCTAAAATATCCTCAGGCAACGGGGTGCAAACGGAGAGTGTTTTGGGTTATTTTTAGCTCGCTCGTGGGGTAAATCAGACATTTCAGCGGATCGTTTGAGGCTTGACGTGCTTTGACTGGCTGTTATTTCGTTCACGGTGACTAAAATGTTCCCAAATTTTAGCGATGAGTGCAAACAACCTGTGGCACATACCTAGATGTCGAGAAGCGGGGAAAGCATGGGAGTCGTATTGGCTCAAAAGCTGCGAGAGTGAATTGTCATTATTGACAGATAAAACATAAACAAATGTCAACAAACACATACACGAATTAGGTGACAGGGCTAGCATAAGGGATTTCCAGCTTGTTCGAGCACTAAGTTAGCAGCCTGCAGCCGTTCGGTAAATCCCTCAACACGCCAAGCAGCCAGTCAGGGTAACGGTTCATCATTTCGCACTTACCCCGCTTGTGAACGTCAGATTAGTCCTCACACACAACTTCGGACGGTGTCTGGCTTCTAACGACGCTGTTGCATTACAGAAGGTGAGATGAACGGTGCGGGATGTGTTGTTATTGTGTTTTTCTCCACCTCAGAGTCTAACTGTTAGCTGTCCAACCGACCGAGGCTGCTTCTCCTGTCACTCACTGTGCCGAGCCGGCTGTCCGCTCCGCCGCCATCTTGGTTGTGATGGGAATCCGCCAACACACACGCGCGCGCGCGCGCGCGCGCTTCTGTCACTTCAGAGGACGTTTAAGTGACTTGCAGTCATTCCCGGGAGACCCACGATAAGAGACTGACCAGAGGTGGACTCAGGACTTTACTGCTATGTGAAAAACATTATCATCACACTGTAAAAACAGAATATTTTAAAATTAATTAATTAATTAAAGTCCTCTGTGGAATAGGTTACCTTCAATAATAATAATAATAATAATAATAATAGAAAAATTATTACAAAACAATAGAACAGAATAGTTCCTTTATTGTTATTTTGCTTGCTCCACACCAACTGTGCAGGAATAAGATATAAATAGTAAGACAGGAGGAATAAATGACTAATAGGAGAAATATATACAATCAAGGGGGCTATATAGAAACTAGATGAATATATACAAAACAAGAGAAAGGCACTCACAATAACAGTAATATTAACGATAATAATACAAGTATTTAAAAAAAACATTACTAAAAACTGCTTTTTAAAACTTAATTCAGAATCTAATCAATAAATTAGATTAGTTTAAAATCTCAAAATTCAATTAAAGTTTATTTATCTGGGACCAAATCCAAGCAGCAATTGCCTCGAGGTGATTTATAGTGAAAAGTGAAGAGCAAACAATAGGTGACAGTGGAAAGGGAAAAACTCCCTTTTAAGAGGAAGAGATCTCAGGTAGAACCAAGCTCAAGCTGTCCAAGCTTTCTGACCACCATTTCTGGTGGTCTTGCGCAAGGTAGTGGATAAACTAGAGTGAAGTGATGGTAAAGAGCAGCTAACAGGATAATAAAGGCTGCAATTCAAACGGACACTGATGTCTACAAATATCAACTGTATAAAACACATAGATGCAGCTTCCGGGTCTGACAAGTGAAACCAGTTGAAATGCCTTTAACCTGCTTTTTTTTCTGAGGGCCAGCAGCAGGTAACTCCTCTGGTGTCAAAAGGAAATCCAGTTATACAGAAGACTTTGGGAAAAGATCTCTCCGGTCCCAGTTTTTGACCTTAATAAGCATTGTATTGATAAATCTATGATGCAAATTGATCATTTCAAGTATCATTGAATCCAATATAATGCTCATTTTATAAATGGTAGCCACCACTAGAGAAATGAAGGTAGTTAAAGGTATCCTTAATGGCTGGCCTACTATGTGAGTGACAAGTCAGTTTTAACAGCTTTGCAGTTTTAAAACATGCTAGTGGCATCACAGTGGCGTAATGGAGTGATGTTTATATTTTGTAAACATTACCATGTGTACAAAATGCACTTTTACAGCAGAAGATAGGATTTCATGCAGTGTGGGCTGGTTCTTGGTTGTTTTGTCATAGCAGAGTGTTTTTTTAATGATCAGTCTAAAGATATTGGTTGCTAACGCTAATGTTTCTTACACTGTAGTTTGAATAATTATTTCCTAAGGAATTGGATCAATGCATACATTTAGATTTGAGTATGAATAAAGCTGTACTGCTGCTGTATATTGTGTAGGCCCACTGCCCTTTGTGAGTTTACTCACTGAGGAGGCATTTAAGATAAAGTATTATAAAAATATTATCAGCAGTGCATTTTGTTAGGGGGTATGGGATAGATCAACTTGAGAAGTGTATAACTTAGTGACGCTATCTGTGTCCATGGAAGTATAATAAAACAGGACATGGTCCAGCTGCAAAGTGACATTTAGTTGTGTTAAGGGGCTGAATTTGAATTTATAATGACATTTTTCACAATGACTTAAAACTATATTGGGCTCAGTGTGCTAAGTTTCTGACTGTACAGCATTTTTTTTAATGAGAAATAAAATCCAGCTTTGCATGTATGTTTCTTCATCGTAAAAATTCTTTCATATTGTACATGCTGAGATAACTACCTGTTACCTACTAACTACCAGTTACTTACAAGCAAACAGTGTTGAAAGCGCTGCTAAAACCAATAGTACGCTTTTAAAGATTACATTTTGTCACAACCACCAAACTATCCAGGGCTAGATCTGAAATGGATAAGAAGCTAAAGAAGGAAAATGCATGTGAAATATTTTTCTACCTGATACAGTAACAGTGATTAATGAATGTCAGAGAGTTCATTAGTGAAGAGGAGACTGCAGTTTCATCTCCAAGCAGCAAAAGTATGATGCTGGACGTCATCCAAAAACAAGCTTTGTGACTTTTGAAGCAGTGCCATGTGGGAAATGTATTTACGTACCTCTTTTTGATGGGGCCTGTATTTCAGTATGCACTGTGGCAAGTAAAAAAGTTAGTGTTCAAGATGTGCAGTGCAGGCTTTTGAAATGAAATTCTGAAATAGCTGCAAAACAGAATAAAAATAAGGGAAAACACATAGTTTCGTTATGAAGTACTGGTCATATATGATGCACTTAGGTAACAAAGGTCAATACAAATGTCAGAGCATGACTTAACACAAACCCGAGATCTCTGCATGCAACACAACCACCTACAATGTAACAACATAATCTCAAAATAAAGAGATTAGAATTCATTCATTCTAATGTAAGTGAGAGCTGAGATTAAAAACAAGAGATCAAAAGAGGAGTTTACAATAAACAACACTGAGAAAAGTGTTTCACAGTTGTAATGGTTATACATAGTTATATAAGAAAGCCCAGCTTTTCCAGAATGTTTTGTCATTTTCAAATTCTACAAAATATATTTAAAATAATGTGACTCATTAGAACATTAGGACTCGTCAGGTTTTTATTTCTTAGTTAAAACAGGACATGAAATTGTGCGATAGTAGATGTTGATGCTCCAAAAGCAAGCGTTATTAGGGAATACCTGCACTACAGCGTATGTCAGCATTAAATAAATTGAAAGATTACAAATTAGTTTTTCCAAGATACAAAATGAAATTTAACAACAAAAGCAGAACAAATATTGTAAGACTCTACATAAAACTCCAGGTAGTTGGGTGCTGTCTGATAATTGTGTTTGTCAGCCTTAGAGGGAAAACCCAAGTTGACTCAGAAAGTATTTGTTTCATACGTATTTGTTAAATATGTAAACATAGAGCTGAATTAAGTCAAAGCAGCAAACTGTAGAATTTTTACTTGCTGAATCAGGGACATTGAAAATATTACATTAAAAACAGGCATTTATGGTCTGCTGGAGCCAAAATCTGTGCTTAGGTTTCTCCATGCCCAATTTGAACAGAATTTGAAGTGCTGCTGGCTTCAGTAAAGCTTAATATAGCATCTATTGCTTTATATAGCATAATGAGGTCTTTGTGGTCCTTCCTTGGGTCTGTTATATGATGTTTTGAAGATACCCAATGTAGATAGATTAAGACTGTAAATTTGCTAGCATGCAATGATATATTTTCTCTTTTGTTGAGATAGTCACAGAGGTTATCCCCCAGTGCATGCTGGGACTGTATTATCCCCCATGGGTTCAAATGAAACACTGGAAATGTAAAACTAATGAATGAATGGGGCAAGCTGGCACTTTCTTCAAACAGCCTCAAATTTCTAATTAGTTTTCAATTGTTTCATTGATTGTAAGGGACACTTCACTTACACGTCTTTTGCCAGCGCCTAACATTTTCAGAATCAGTCCAGTTTCAACTTTACTTTGTGTTGAAGGGCAGGATATATGATGAAACTGGCTGAAACAGCTTGGCTGTGAGTAGGTGTGAGGTTTGCTCAGCATGAGTGTGGGTGGAGAGCTGGCAGTAAGTATTCCCACACAGGCATGCAGAGTCATAAATTCCTTAAATATACATTTTAGTTTTTGTTGTCAGAAGTTAAATGTACTAAAAGAGCTATTATGAATATCTGAATGCAGATGTGTTTCTGGTTGTTTAGACAATGCAAGTCCTTTAGTAATATGTACATGATTGTCTAAGTGTAAAATTAACTGGAGCTTTACTTATCTTTACTACCAAACGCCTGACGTCTTCTTCCAGACTCTTACTAGCTGATGGTTAGAGTTGATTTACACAAAAGGAACATATTAAATGAATTTAAAACAAAAGCAAAGGGAACCCATGCTTTTTTGTGATAAATATACTGTTACAGTGGTGGATTTTCATATTAAGCATAATAAAGTCAGTACAGTAATCCATGAAAACCAAATGCTTCAGACTGCTCTACAGCTCCGTTTTAGCTTTGTATACTCATGGCTCCATACAATGTCATTAAGCAGACATCCCTAATAGGGTGTGTTCAGGCACACAACCATATTTCCAAAAGTATTTGCCTGTCTGCTTTCACACAGATAGAACTTGGGTGACATCTCTTTCTTAATCCATAGGGCTAAGTATGAAGTTGGGCTACCCAGCTACAGCTGTGAAAGCTTCAACTCTTCTGTGAAGGTTTTCCACAAGGTTTAGGGGTGTTTGTGGGATTTTTTTTGTCATTCTACCAGAAGCACATTTGTGAGGTCAGAAACTGATGTTGGATGAGAAGAATATATTTAGCAGAATATAAGGAAATGATTAGGTTCAAACAAATTTAAGTGCTGCATGAGTAATTTTAAGTAATGCAAAGTTATTGTGAGCTATTACTTAATTTCTTGGGAATTTTGCAAAAAAACAATCAATACTTCTCCATCCTACATTGTAAATACACTGTACTTTTTGGGGCGTGATGTGTATAATGGAGTGGCTTAACCTTGCCTGTTCCTATTGTGCACAAGAGGAGAGACTCATTTTAAGTACACTTGTTTGAAAAATTAGACTTGGTTCTATCATTATAAGGTCATATAGGCTTGTAAATTAAAACTGCAAACTAGAAATGGAGAACAGTTATTATCAAATTTATACTGGCAAAATAAAAGGACGAGTGAATAGTAGAACATCCATCATGCAAATTAATGCATCGAGTATTCATAAAGGTGTAAAACAATAAAGGTCTAAAAAGGTCATATTAGTCAACTCCATAATATGGCCCATGCCACAAAAAGTACAGAGTATTAATCATTTAAGATGGGGGGATATTGTTTGTAACTAAGCCAAGTTTT